CATCCTAAATCTCCTAGTACATTTTTAGCTGTTGTTTTGCTTTAAAAACCTTTTAAAGCATGGGAGCACCTGCTGCTATATAAAATACTCATTTTATCAAGATCACAGGATAATCTGGTTAGTCCAGATTAGAGACAGTGATAAGACAATAATCCAGATTCTTGGGATTGATTGTCAGTGACATTTCTGGCTAAGATAAAAGGGATGTATATGATTGATGATTCTGGAAAAAAAAATTGCACAGCTGTTCAGCATCTTCCTAGACCAAACAGAAAGAAACTGCTGTAAATGGCATGTCTCTTACTTATGATATTGTTGTGTTAATGTTTTAATGTGTATTCTATTTCACATTTGAGAGGGGGATGGCCTTGAAAGGTCTTGGATTTGTATCTGCACCATCATTTATCTTCAGTTTGTTTATGGTCATATTTATTTATTTATTTAGAAAATTTCTATGCAGCCCCATTTGCCAAAGCCTCGGGGCGGCTCACAACATAAATCAATTAAAATAATATAAATTAACAATATAAAATAAGTTAACAATATATAGTTTGGTCTTGTGTTCAGGCAAGCAACTGGGAACATAATATGTAGGCAATGGAAACTTTTACTTACAACTGACTTGAGTTTGCATGACATGACAACCTGTTGTGGCTAACTAGTCAATGTGGCTTGTGATGTCATGCAAACTCAGACTACTTTCCTTGAGTAACTTGTTTGTGTGCACTCCATTGTGAATACAGGGTAGCAGGAAGTGAACCAGTAGGCAAGGACAATAAAACCTTACTGCTGAGCTCATCTGGACCACTACTAGTGAGAGCCCTGCATGAGAGAGTGGTCACCAACCTAGAGGGCTTCACCAAAAAGGGGGTGCTTGCCATCCCATTTCATGAGGAAAGATGCTCTTAGAGCTTTACCTTTCACTTCATGGCTTGATATTTGACAACGGTCAAATGAAAACCAAGGCAAAACATTAAACTACTTGTGGCCAGGACATTGATGAGACAAAGCTGTGCATTTGGGGTAATCAGTGTTGTTCATCTGTTTACCTCTGAGAATTCAACAAAAAACAAGTGAAACCATTTGTGTAAATCTCTCCTTTGAGGAAAGAGATGGGTGGTAAAACAGTGATAGGTGCTCCAGTATCCCATGTTCAAGTGCTATCAGTTCAGACATTGTGAAAATCAGTAATCAAAAAGAAAACCAGCAGCAGCTGCAGATGTGGTCCTGGCAACAGCAGGGGGAGGAGACAAAACAGCTCCTGCTGCAGTGCCCTCTGGGATACCTGTGAGGAGACTGAATGGAAAAGAGGTTGGGGCCAATCTGTGCCTGATTGTCTGTTGGGTGCAGTATGAGTTTTTTGATGAACAACTCAAAACTGTAGCTCCTTTGAAGGATGGGTTGCTGTGTCATGCAAGTCCTCACACAATTTGTAAATGTGCATCAGCCATATTCATAAGCAAACATTAGATTCCAACGTAACTTGTCTTCAGTTTACTATAATTTAGTGGCATGTAAGACATTTCTTTTCAGCTGTAATATTGGATTCTGTTCGGTATGATTTAGGCATTGACCTACTTATTGTAATGCTAAACGTGTTTATATTTCTATTGAAATACAGCAGTTTGACTAGATCATGTTGTACAATGTCCGAAAAGAATTGGCTCTCTGGTTTTCTTTATGAAGAATGTATATGTTGTACCTGAAGTAACTGCCTTATTATTGATAAAACAGGACAGTTTCCCCATTTTTAAAAAATCTAAAATATCTTTTGTAGGACAATACTGATGTAGACTAGGTATGAATTTATGTGTGTGTGTATGAATGTTATAAATACATGCAGTAGAGAATAGTTCCCTCTCCTAGTGTGCAGTTTTTTGACTCAAACATATGTCTTTGAATGGTGACACTTGTAAACAGTTCAGAAGAAATACCCAATTATAAATACCCGATTTGGATTATTCAGTACTATTTAGAAATATCTGCTAGATCTAACTTTATAATTTAACATGTACCTTAGTTTTGGTTGAAATATTGTATAGTGTTCTCATAGCAAGTGAATGCTAACTTCATTGTATCATCTGCTCACTTACTTGTGATTTCTTTATTCATACAGCACAAAGGGAATTGACTACTGGTTTCTGGTTTTACACATGTCAGACATAGTGAAAAGATTTAAAAGTAGGTTTATTTTCATTTGACTGACATTTATAAGCTGTTAGGCTAACATACAAAATTGACATAGTTCAGGTTTGTGTATTAAATGGGAAAAGACAGCTATCAGATGGCTCAGCTGGTTTAAAATAGTCCTTTAGTGTGTTTCCTAAAGCCCAGCATACAGCGAGACAAAAAGACTTGCAGGTGAAGTAAATATAACAAATTCTGGATTGCTTATCAGTGTTGCTTGTACTTGGTAAAACTGAACTAGGGACAGGAAGTGGGGAACATGATCACAAATTTTGGCTGAACTCCATAGGTAACCAACATGGTTTGTTTGACCATGATCCCCCTCCTCTAGGAAGGTTGTGTCTTGTGCTTGACTAAGAGGTTGGAACAATCCCCACTCCTCCAGCTTCAACTGAGGAATTGAGGAGAATAGTTTTTTCAGCACTGATTGTAATTCCTGATCCCTCCTACTTGAAAGTATCACTACAGAGATGATAGCCTTTCCCCCTCTCCATCTCTGAGACTGGGAAGAAGGTTGGAGAAGGCAGGGATTGTTTTTCTTGAGAGGTCAAGCTGGCACAACCAGGAACTGAAGGTAAAACACTTAATAGCTATTTATTTGACCTCAGCACACACCACAATTGATTAAGAAACAGTAGCATTTGAACTGGGGAGTCACTTCTGTGTTGTTTTGAGACAATAGTTTGGACACCCAACTTGGCATTCTTCCCTTCCTACAAACTTGTATGGATTAGCATTTTAGTACTCTTATTTATTCAAGGTTCATGTAGTTGCTCAGAGTTAGTGTGTAGCGACTGCAGCCACTTGGCATGCTCGTCAAGCACTTCCGATGCTTGTATCCTTGCTACTGTATGAGAAAGTGTGAACTAGCACTTGTAGTAGGTACTGTTGGTTTGAAAAGAAAGGTGATCAGTTGTGCTGCTTGCAGTTCAACTTTATATTTTATAAGTAGGTGGAGATTTCAACTGGTTTGAAGACGAGAATTGTAATTTTTAAGAAAGTTTTGGGCATAAATGTTCAAGGCTTTGCTAGACTGGGATTCTTCTAGTTATATAGCATAATGTGCTTTTTTCCTCCCAGTGGATGATAGATGCATCTGTTTTCCTTCCCTTTCCCACCCCAGTTGACCATAGGTCTCACTTGAAGCAAAATGTATTAGGGCTGTTATCTGTAAAGGCTGAGGTGAGAATAGCAGCACTTGCCTCTGAATTTATTTGTGTGGGAGTATTTAGATATACTTCTTGCTTTGATAGTACTACCCTTAAACTGTTCATGCTATCTTGTATAAAACTTGATGAACAGACTAGCAAACTAACAGTTGCAGTAAAGTTATGGTAAAACTTGCCAGACTTCTAAGTTTGAACATTGAGCGCAGTGAAAAAAATATGGTTGCAGAGAAATCGTGATTGGTTGTGTGCTCAACTCAAAAAAACCTCAATGTCCTGAATCAATTCGATTTGCTTCAACTTGAATCAATCCGTCTTGTCCTGACGTGAATTGATTCACCTTGAATCAATTCAGGACATCAAGGCAGCCATGGCAGTGTTGGGGTAAGTGTGTTCAAAACAAGGGGGATTAATGGCAATGTGTCTTTTATTGTTTTATATATATATTGTTTATATTGTAGGTTGTTGATTAAAAGAACCTCTGCTGCCTCCCAGTCAAACATGGTAGCATTGTTTCATTCTTACTACCAAGTCTTGTGTGTTTGTTGCCATATTACATACATGACTTTTTTACCTGAGCAAGGGAATGTTTTTAAAATAATCATATAAAGGTCTGTCTGACAACCAGCACCAGAGACATTTTATGCAGTTAAATATGGAAATAATATTATTACATTGCATGCATATCCTGCCTTTTTTCCTCTTTGAGGAGCCCATGGTGGGTTACATACCTCCATTTTATTGTCATGACAACAACCCTGTTAAGTAGATTATGCTGAGAGTGAGGGATTGGCCCAAAGACCCTCAGTGGCCATCATGAGTGTGGCTAGAACCTAGATTCCCAGGTCCCTGATCAAACACACTAACGACCACATCACACTGATAACAAGACCTGCATGCTGGATAATTTTATCATATCTTTTTCTTTCTAGTGTTGTTCTTTTATGCCTCATTCAGCACTGGTCCAGTGTTACCCTCACAAAAACAGTCATTGACCCAACTAAAGCTTCTATGATTGAAATGTAGAAGTAAGGTTTGATAGTTTCTGGGTAGACTAGAACAGTTTTCCTTGAGTGGAAATTAAATACCTGTGCTTAAAAGACAGAATGTAAATACTCATTTTCACACTGAAAAAGCCACCTTGTTGCAGTGTATCTGGTAGAAGGCATCTACTCAGTTTTAGAGTAATTATAGGTCTAACTAGCATGCTTATATCTGGTTTATTGAACTACAGTCTAATTATTACTCAGGAGAAACATGCTGGGCAAAGCTTACTTGAAGAACTTTCAGTAAAATCCTTTCTGAAGGATCCAGTGCCTCTGACATACCCAGATGCTTGGTGGACTCATGGTTGTGGGACAGAAGTGAGGGAGGAGGAGTGTTCTCTCTTTCCCCTCTTCCTGTTCTGAGTAGAATGGTGGTTTCACTGATTTCCTATCCATTGCTAGCAGTAGGAAGGAAATTGTTTATACCATCTTTAGGATTTGTGTTGGGGTTACATTTGCTGACTGAAAGTTATTTTTCATCCACCTTGAGGCAGTAATTCAGGTCAAGATTCTGTTAGTATGGTTACAGTCACACCGGTATGTGAACATGAATTGACTTACTTTGAAACAACTAATTTTTTTTTTCTTTTTAAAATTTCAGTTTAACTTTGTTGGAAGAATCCTTGGGCCCAGGGGGCTAACAGCTAAACAACTTGAGGCTGAAACAGGATGTAAGATAATGGTCCGAGGCAAAGGGTCTATGAGAGACAAGAAAAAGGTAAGAGCTTTAAAGAGAAACAGTTGCTTATTAGGATTGCTTTTTACAGATAATATTAAGCCTTAGCAAATTATGCCCATTATGAAGAAAGTAAAGTCTTCAGAGTTGCTATTCTTAACATGTTACAATGGATTCTAAAACATTTTACCAAAAAGTAGATATTTATCTGCATTCAAATTGTTTATGCATATGATTATTTTATGAAGATTGAAATAAATCTTGAGGCTTCAGTAGCATAGGGTATGTGTTTCGGGTTAGCAAGATCTTTTTTACTCATGACAACAAATCTTCCTACAATATTTGTATTACTTCTTCCCTCCATCCTCAGATTGGGGGCAGTGGTGTAGTGGACAGACAATGTATAAATTAAGGGAATGTATAAATTAGAGCACTGGAGAAAGGGATTAAACATTGTTGCTTGAAACAGCCTTCTTCAATCTGGTGCTCTCCAGATGTTTGGGATTTAGCATTCATCATCCTCAACCAGCATTTGTATTGGTCACGTATGCTCAGAATTACAGTCCAGAATATTTGGTGAGCACCAGACTGGGGCAAGCTATGTAAGGACTACTAATCAATCTATGGGTAATTCTAATTGTAAACCACCTGTAACATATCTTATTAGAGCTTCCATAGACTGCATTACAAGTATTTAAAGGGCTTCCAGCATAATCTTCTTGACAGACTTGTGAGCAGACTAGTGGTTATATTCATGTAGGACACTTACAGACAACTCTGTGCTAGGAATTTCATGACTTACAGTTTGTACTGTTGGCCACTATACTGTTTCTTTATGATTGGGTTCATTAGTCATTTGGGAAACTGCTCAGAATTATTGCATTTGGTTCCCCTTGTGCATACAGAATGCAGTGTGATTCTTGTGAAGAGACGTGTGTCATATTCACACTTGGAGAACAGAGCAACTACAGTTAAAATAGAAGACAAGGTGATCTTGGAGTATAATACTGGTGAGATGGAGGATGGAGTCTTTTAGAATCACTGACTGATTCAGCTGACATACAGTAGCTAATTGTTGATTCTTTAACCCATGGTTACTCATGCAGGTGTCATATTGCATATCCAATCCACACTCATGGCTTGTTGTGTCATATAAATCCAGTGAGCAGGGATTATGTGTATATTAAATATTGTAATAGAGATTATGGGTTGGGTGAGGATTGTTTAACTCTTCCATAACCTACACTTGTTGGGTTTGTATGATATGATAATCCCCAAACAGGGGCTTTGAATTCAAAATGGCAGCCATACATATTGCAACTTCATAGTGGGTTGAATAATAACACAATAAAAGAGTAACTGTGCCATCTCTATAATGTTTTAATTCAAAATGCAGATAATATATTTGCAATATGGTTAATTCTTTACATGGAAAAACTATCTTACATTCAGTGTTGAAAGAGTATGGATCAATTCCTCAGTGGCAAACGAAACCAGTGAATACCAACATTTTAAATCCAACATTGTAGTTGCTAAATTCAGATGCCAGTTTATAAGGAGGTCATTTTAAAGAACTATACAAAATAGAAACTGTTTCATTAATAGTGCTTGCCTGTGGGCAGTTATGGCTTCCTCTTTCTGAGTGCCAAATTACAAAGTAACATGAATAGGACATAATTAAGCTTGAAAAAAAATTGAGCTGGCCTTAATGGAGGAGGAAAAAGTAAAAGGTTGGCATAGTGAAAAGGCAAATATAGTTGTTAATGTATGGTCCTATTTATACGTTTCTTGTTTGTTGCAATACATTGAGCATTTTGTGATCAACAAATTCATCTAGCTTATATACCATCAATGTCTTTCTGTATATGAAGCTGTTGAAGGCAGCTGAAAGAAGCAATTAAGTAGCCAAAAAGTGATCTATTGCTTTTGTATCCCTTCTTTCTCCAGAGTGCTCCAGAATGTTGTATGTTATAGTGAAATATGTAACGTTATTTTATCTGATTAAGCAATATGGATTGTAATTGCAGTCTTAGGTATTTTTAATATCCAGATGAATTGGATAATACAAATAAATTGAACTTGCTTCCTTTGGAAAGCAAAGGGCAAAACCTTGATTCTGAAGAATTTTCTGCGAATGAATTTCCTTTGTTGGTATTTGTTTAGCATAGGAAATTATGTCTTTGCTCTGCTTTGGTTTCCAATCTGTACATAGTCTGGGAACAGTCTACTCATATCAGCTCCCCTTAATGCCAGTGTTTAGACTATTAAGTTTACTTATTAAGCCAGATTGTCAATAAACCTTGTGCAGCTGCCTTGCTTTTTCTCTTCACACAAGTGGAAAAAGAAGCTACAGTTCATTATAGCTTCCCACAGTGTTCAAACTGGGAAATTAAGAGTGGTTTTCAAACAAGGTTGAAACTTGGCATCATATTCTGGCTTGTTTTGAACCCATTATCCATAGTTTCTCAGTTGAGATGGATCGTAGTATTCTTAAGGTTATGCAGAGCTTGTACACATCTCAGCCTCTTGCATTTTGAGTTTATCATTTAAATGTGACCGCTTGTGAAAACAGGAAATGGATAAAGATTTATATTTCTTGGATGTAATAATGTGTACAAAACTTGCTGTGTATAGATGCTTATCTGCCTTGGTCATTTTTAAATGATGTGCTTATTATGCTGATAATATTTTAATAGGTTACTTTTTAAAGACTTTTATCTTTAGTTAATCATCAGGGAATGATCCTAGCTCTTCATTGTAGAATTTTATCCTTTTTACTTGGGTTCAAGTTGCCACTCAGCCATGGAGCCAACTGGGTGAGTTTGGGCCAGTCACAGACTTTTAGTTCAACCTACCTCATAGGTTGTTGGGATAAGATTGAGAGCAGCAGAAGAGGAAGGATGTAAGTCACCTTAAGTTATTTCAAGAAGAAAAAGGCGGGATATGAATCTAATAAATATACTGCAACATAATTATATGTTTAGTTTCAGTTTTAAGATAAGACATTTTGTTTCTGTTGAACTGTTTGAAAGACTATTTAATAAATAATTTATTTAATAAGACTATACACGATTTATAACCTGAGACCAAGCTTATTCAAAGCTTTCTTGTAAGAGTTGATCTATTGCCAGACCTACGAGTTTAACTGCTATAGAACTATTTTTAAGGACAAAATGTCATAGAAGTTTAATTATTTCTAAACACAGCTGCTTCAGAAGCATGGTGTACTAGTAGATCATTAGTAAACATTTATAAGAAAAGTTACAGTCAATTAGTGTTAATTTCCTATACATTGTTGCACATTATTTGCTTCATCTGTAATGAATAGGCAATGAGGTGCATTATTGATTTGAGAAACTGCTCTGCAAGCCATCACAAAATGGTTGCCATGGGAAGTATTGCTAGAGATGTAAAGTTTTTCAAATTTTGAAGTCATGAGTAGGAAAAATTTGGAAAAAGTGTAAATCCCAGAAAAAAATAAAGTATGAATTGAAATTCACTATGTTATTTTAAGAATATAACATATATTGTGCATAACTTGGTTCAACATAAAATTTTGTGCTTGGTATATTTTGCGTTTGACATAAATTGCAAATTGATTTTTTTGTGTCTTGAACTGTAAGGAATACTTGAACTGTGAGCAAAATCATTGGTTTTATCAGGGTATGGAGAACATGAAAAAACAATAAAAACAGAAAACCATCAGTATTTGTAAAATAGAAACAAATTTCTCCTCCATAGTACCAAGCAGATATAAAGCAATCATTCCCATATGAAGAACTGAGAAAATAGTATAATTTTCTGAGCTATTCTCAGTCCTTCTTTGTGGTCTCTGTGCATATGGGCTCTGTATCGGTTCTTGAGAAGATTTTCCTAATTAAATTCATTCTAGCAGGAGCCCTTGCTCTCTCTCTCTCTCTCCCCCTCCCCCAGTATATCAAGGAAGGGCTCCTGCCATTTTCCCCAGTTCTTTTCTGACCACCATTGCACTCATGGTGCAATTATGATACTAGGATGCTACAAACTGTGATCCTCTCAGAGGGCCTTTGGGCTGATGTAGCAGACAAGAAGTCCAAAAATGAATGAATGAATAAAAATGATGGCGATCTGTTAATTGTTTGTTTGGGAGAAGATGGGCTCCCTCTGAGAAAACCTTCCAGAACAATATAGACAGTTGGCATGAATCTTTCAGTCTCGGGCCCTCCATGTGTCCCATCATCAGATAAATATGGCATGCTGCGACTTTGAATGTGACTCCAGAGCTCATGTTGGTATGGTGCTTATTAGCTGGCATACTTGGCCCTGTGTGGCTGGACTACCCGAAGAGTTGCATATGAGAATCAAGAATCTGCCATTTGATGGAGATGACCTCTTCAGACCCCTTCAAGTCTGATGAAAGGCAGCATTGACTAGCATGACCATTCAGTCCTCCTCCTCCCATCTGATTTGATGGACATTTCTTCACATATCTTTCTTCTTGGGAAGCCATAACATAGGCTAGGTTTCCGTAGTGGAGAGGGGATGCCAAATTGAGAGGGGATGCCTGTCCTGGCCGTAAAATGGACTATGCCTCCTGTTCCTCCATCTGACCTTTGAAATGGATTCTATTCATGGTACTAAAGAAGGATGGTGGCCTTGGCCTGATTCTATATCTCAGAAATGTCAGTTTCTTCATCACACTGAAGAAGTTTCACATGGTTTTCTTGTAGGACATCATACCACTGCTGTGTCAAGGGTATGCACATCTATTGACTTGAAGGATGCCTACTTTCATATTGCAGTACATCACTACTGTATTTTTTGCCTCTAAGCATGGAGGCAAATTCACCATCTTCCCATTTGGACTTTCCACCATCCTGAAGGTATTTACCAAATGAATGCCAGTCATCTGTGCTTACTTCCATCTGCAAGAAACCAAGGCTTCCACCAACCACGATGACTGTGTCCTTGAAAGAATAGCTTTGTACTACTTGTGTCCTACAAATAAAATATTGGGTCTGTGTATGAATTAAGAAAATTCTGTTTTTTCTCTTTCTCAGTCA